GGGTTACTATATGGGAGGTGATTAAAGTGTAAGCATGAGGGGGATCGCATTGGAGATGTGTATGTGCCCCGTTGAATGGGCTGCTGGGTAAAGCATTGAAGGGTGTTAATTATTGAATATACTTTGAATCCTCCCAAAATCAGAGATTCTCTCTCGTTGCTTTCTTTTCACAATTTAGTGAATTAATCATCAAATTACTACAAACTAGTTATCAATAGATTCATTAACATAATTCTTACTATAGATGCAGCCATTGATATAATCTTTCAGACACTTGTCAAAACATTTACTTAATATTTTCTATATATATATACGCTGTTATTATATTTTCTGAATATTCATCATTACTGATGTGCAGGGTGGGTCTCTTTCCTGAGACTTGCTGTTACTTGAGTTTCCTTGTTGGTTTTATTGATCATCTTACGTTTTCCTCTCTGTATGCCATGAGGGGTGTAGCACGCAAGTGCAGGGGCTCATGCATTTTGCTCTGAACCCAATGACTTCGTACGCCTTTTGGCGTCATCTGGTCCAACACCAATGGAGACTAGGCTCTAAGAAAAGCTGTCTCGGGTGTGGACCAATCAACTTCAAGGACAGTGCATATCATTATCATCATCAGAGTTGTTTCTTTTTGTTTGCATTTTGACTGCTTGTGTTGTGGTTATTGCAAACATGATGCCTTGTATAAAGGTGTCAGTTTTTGTACCAGTTGAAAGTGTAAAAACCTATTACTACCCAATGACTTGAGTTTGGTTCCTGACCTCGCAGGCAATAATTAGGCAGCAGGTTGGCGCAGTGGTAACAATCATGCCTCGCAGCAAGAAGTACCTGGGTTCAACTTCCAACTCAGGCACTTTTCTGCGTGGTGTTTGTATGTTCTCCTCCTGTCTTGCATGGGTTTCCTCTGGATTCTCTGGTTTTATCCAAAAGGAAAAAAAAATATCTAACAGATATTGGGATTACACACAGCAGCAACACCACACGCTACTGCAAACAATTAGCAGAACCCTCCAGAATAATAGTCTTGAAACTCAGTGAGGCTTATTGGGGTAAACAAGCTTACATATAAAAACATAAAAAAGCAAGTGATTTTTGATCTAGTACAAAGCACCCCTTCACCATCACAACCCTATAAGTTATTTGGACATTTTCTATTCCATATGTGGGGAAGAATGCTCCAACAGCCCCAATGACAGGCATGGCAGGGGCAGGCCTTCATCCAGCAGTGGATTCACATAGGGATATACATTATCATATAGATTGTGTTATTATATGCAGGGAAACTTCCATGAGTCTCAAAACTTTTTCAGGAAGGTTCTGCCAAGTTTTCGCAGTAGGGGACGATGTTGCTATCAGTAATCCTAATTTAGTAATTAATCTTTCAGCATTGGTATGTTTGGCCAATACCACTTACATTGTATTATTTTTAATTTGCTATGGGAGGAAACTGGAAAACTCGGAGGAAACCCATGCAGAATATGGGAAGGACAATAAAAGCACCAGACAGAACGGTGCCCACATCCAGAATCGACACCAGGCCCTTACTATGAGGCACAAGTGTTACCACTGATGACCATGATGCTTGCGGGTGATTCTTTGTTTATCAACAGGGCTGCATCACCCTTCCACACACTCACATGCCATTCACCAGTTATGAATATCTGCTTTAACTACTGGTTGAAGGAATGAATAGTAGTTGGTTAGTGTTAAAGGCTAATTCTCAAAACATTAATCATATGTAATGACTCCATTATTCAACTAAGTACTATGCTTTTATCAAAAGCCATGCAGGACATTCGTGGTCTTTCGTTTAATGTATGGAAAAAGTCAAAAAGTGTCTGTACTCAGACATCAGAATCAGAATCTTTATTTATCCTGGAGAAATCCGATGAGCTATGAAGTTATTTTTCACTAAAGTCCAGTAAATAATCAGGTGTCCCTTGTGTCTTTTGACCATCCAAATCCAGTGGTCTGATTACATATTCCCCTGGCAGGTGCCAGTCAGTCACAAATTGGTTGCAAGTTTATCAGCTCTGGATGAACGACGGATTTGAGTTGACCCGCGACCAAGATTTAAATGCACAACGTTACTTGTATGAGATGAGTGCTTTTAACCACAGTACAAACCAGCCGGATAACCACAGTGGTAAAGGTAGAAGTGCAGCGCTGCAATTACTCGCTCACGCCACGGCAGGCAGAAGTTGCCTGTACGCAGCGGGAACACGAGAGACAGCCCCTCTGGAGTGTATTTTGGTCGACTCTTCCAGACTGGCCAGACATACCAGAGTACTGTAGAAGTAATCCACATAATATTTGAATGGCCCTCTGTGTTGAAAGTTGTACAGGGCGCAATACAGGAACGAGTGGGCGATTATCTCTTAACACCTGTTCTTGTGTAACGCGTGCAAACGTCAAAACAAAGTGAAAAATAATTCAGAATGGAGATTCACCAATGCACAGGCTGCTGCTATTGCTTGCGAATTTTCACAACGGAATTAATCAGTAAGATATCGCAGAATAATTTATTTAAATATATGCATAACTATATCATTCGATTTCTTTAAATAATTGTACTAGGCTCATTAATATAATTTGGCAGGGGTGCGTGTTCAATAAACGACATTGATTTATGCTCAAATTACTCCGTTGTAGGTTTATACGTCTTGAATGTTATTAGGGTTATAGTCCATCTTTTTAATTGGGATTTATTTTGCTTTAGTTTAATCCTGAATGAAAGCTCTATGCCTGACACAAAACATGAATTAAACTGTTATATTTACTACTGTTATAACATTTTAGTGGGGAAATTAGGATATTCCATAGTTCCAGTGTTTGCTACACAGCCTTGGTGCACCTTACGTGGAGTTGGTGTGATAAGCCAGTATTTTGTCTATGGATCCGTGTGCAAATAGATCACACTAGTGTATCGTGTTAATTATTTTCTTGCAATGGAACTACAGACCACAAGATGGCCTGCTTAGCATGAACATTCTAAACAAAAAAGAACATTTAATCAGTACATTTAAAAAAATAATATTGCAGTGGCAAATATGTTCTATTGCATATTTTATAGAAGAATAAAAAACGTGTTTTAGATTTTTGTTCAGAGGTTTTGCTTGTTTTTTTTTTATCGCACATCTCATTTTCACATTTGGTTAATATTGCAACCAGATTAAACCACTTACAACATAACATCTCCCAGTGTGCTGGCTAAGAAATTCCTTGAGAAAATAACATAAATATTTCATACGGTGTGTGTTTTTTCTTTGAGACCCACCGAGAGAATTGACTAAAATACAGAGTTTCATATTTGGGGATTTCTTTGCTCTGACTACTGTTATTTGAAACCGGATAGCTTTGTATGTGTTGTTGTCTGGTCTTGTGGAACAATATGTTTACTGGCTCCAGTAAGAATGATGCCAGGTAATTAAAGCACTGAGGTGGTTAAGTGCGTACAGTGACGGCTAATGCCTGTGTAATCTTCTTAGGGGAGTGAGTAGAAGATCTTTTTGAGACATTGATTCGTAGCCTCGTTGTTTACTAATATGCCTCTTTGAGATTTGGATCATTATTTACTCGCAGATATATCATACATTTAATAATCCTATAATGGTGTGTGTGCTGAAATAAATGCAATAGTAATGTATTTAAAAAAGAATAATTGTGAGGATATTTAAGATCGTGAAAATGAAACATAATTTTATTGAGATTTAAAACAAACGTCTTTTACGAATTGAATGCAAAATATAACTAATTGATTTGAGAATTAGGATTTGTAGAAAAAATATCCGTAGGCTATAAATATAGATACAGTTCATATGTGTTATTTTCAGAAAATGATCTGGCGTAAAGATCTAACATTCCTGTCAAAGTAGCTTTCATTTAAATTGCAAATTTGGCAAGCAAAGGCAGTATAAAGGCACATCTTAATTATTACAATATGCTAAAAACGATGAGTAAACATGTACTAATTAAAGCTTTGTGGGTAGTGGACTTTTTTTTCTCCCTTAAATTCATGAATGAAAAATGCCGTTTTTAAAACTCCCAACAAGTGCCAACTAAGTGTTTGGTAGGTTAAGGGATAAATTATTCATCTTGCCTCTCCTGTAGAACACAGCACTAAGCAGCACTCACACGCAGCTGGACTGACAGCCGTTCATGCAGATGATGCCTCCTTGGCCCCAGCAGCTGAACCCAGAGGTGGTGGCGGTGCCAACGCGAGAACACACTCGCAAAGCGCTACGTAACGCAGCGAGTTTGCACCGAAACGATTGCCATGACAATTATTGTTCCTGCAAGAAAAATCAAGCCGCATTAAATCAAATATCTAGCTTTTACTTGTTCACAATACATATTAAGCCATTGCAATTCTAATGCATTGTATTACTAATCGTACAAAACAATCCTTGGTAGATGAATGAGAATTAGAGCCAACAAGACATAAGTTTGCAATTACACACAACGATGTATTCTGTTGTCTGCGTGGCAAACTTTCCACACAATTATAAGCTTTAAATCAAGCTGCATAAAACTACCAGGGATGAGCGACAATCATTGATATTGATTTGGCACCTCTTAACGTGACTGTTGTCTCCTCCTGCTCCAACGCAGTTGGTAACATCAGTGCTGACATAAACTAAATAAATAAATAACCACCACTGGCTGGCAGCCAATATAGCGAGTAGCAATGGTAAAAACCCAAGCGCGACTTTAGGAGCAAAGTTTGATGCGTTTACCCACCGCCTGCCAAACAAACTGTGAGCACAGAAGCCACTTGCAGTGCCGCGGTGTGACGGCACCGGCAGTACACAAGTAAGGAGGTGTTGGTGGGTTAGAGACAGCCCCGCAATAGTTGAGACCTCTAAGCCACTGCCCCCGGAAGGAAGGGGGCTTGGAAACTACCAATCTTACATTAGGAGTAGCTGGATTTATAAGTGGCTGAATATTGATGTCGTAGCGAGAGGGAATTTTTTTTTTGTTTAACATTTTTTTGCGTGCGTATGTTGTATGCGTGCGTCGATCACAGACTTTGAGGGAGCATGGCAGGACCTTTCCCAAAAGTCTCGTCGTTGTCAAACCTACTGCAACAGGTGGAGGCGGCCACATCTCCCTCGAGCAGCCTGGGGGCACAGAGCCAGAGGCAGTGCCGCGAGGGCATCATGAACCCCGGGCCCTGCTCCGAGGCAGACCGGGGCTTCTGCATCAACAACAGGGACATGCCCATGGCGGCGTCATCATCGTCGTCCTTCAGCGAGGCACACGGCTACGAGTACTCCGGGGCCTCGCTCTACCAGCCACTGCCTCCCTCGTGCACAGAGTTTTCAATTGGAGCTCATCAACAACAACATCAGCATCACCAGCACCAGCATCAGCAGCACCACCACCAGCAGCAGCAGCCACAGCAGCAGCAGAATGGAGTTCTGGGCGAGGGGCAGAGTTCTCATCTCTCTTATCTTCCGCCCTCGACCGAGCTGCCCCAGTACGTGCCCTCCAGCCCCAGCGCGTCCTACAGCATGGAGCTCGGGGCAGGGCGTCCTCACGGCTACGACCCAGGGCCACAGAGCCTCTACAGGTAATACAGCAGCACTCAGCAGCAACTAGCCAACTTGCTTGCCCCGTACTTCGAGCGAGGCTAAAAATTCGCTCCCGAGCGGGCATGCGTTTGTTTCTTTGTCTTTGCGTGTTCGTCAGAGTAGGAGCCGTAGTGCTATAGGTAGCGTACTGCCCGATGAAACCGGCTGTCCGAGTTCTATTGCTGCTCACGGCCAAAACCATTGGAGAATTTGTCAACCCGTCCTGGGCCTCTCCCCTCCACCACCCAGGTGAATCAACCTTAAACGAGTAAACTGGTGCAGTAAACATCAGCTCTGGGGAGACAAAGCAGACCGTACGTTTTAGCCATACCATCCCTTCATGTCGGCCTTCGTAGGTGCTCGCTAACAGCACTTTTCCAAACAGCATGTGGAGGCTGCACGGGGGATCTTTTTCTTTTATGTTTTTACAAGTAGAAGTTTAAATGTTTTCAGTATCGATGTGGCTAGTATGTGTGTTCGTAGCTTAATCATGGTGATCAATGCACCTTAAAATATTACATTTCATCTTTAGTTGGTGATGTTTAGAGAGGATTATTTGTATTTTCTGCTACAGGATTTACAATTTAAATAAATTACCGTCCCTTAAGTTATTTTTTATAAATGTATATCTTGTTAATTTGTTATATTCACCAACCTGCACTGACTGGTGTGATAAGGTATGGTCAGACAACCCCAGCGAGCAACAAAATGTGGTGAGGTCGTCATCCAGCAGTGGATTGATGTACTGCCATTTATGAATCCTGTAATTTTTTGTAACTTTTAATTTTCTCTGGCTTAAATGTAGACTTTGGGTAGGCATGCCCTCTCATCCAGTGACATATTGTTATCTCATTTAAAACATTCTCAACCCTACATCAATCAAAACGTATCACTGAAATCACCATGGTCTTAAAGAATTATCAAACATTTTAATGTTAAAGTCTACCTTCCAAATTAGTTTTTGCCATGTGTTCATCTAAAACTATTTAGATAAACACATGGCAAAGACTTTGAACTGTTTGTATCAAGTGGTATGCATTGATTTTGCTATAGTCATTTGGAAATATTACCAAATGTTTAATTTATACGGTGACTGACAAACCGCAATGTGGCATTGTGTGTCTGTGCCTTCAAGGGCTCGCACACACAAACAGGTTCAGATACAACACCCGTGAAATTCACTGATACATTCATTATGATGATTATTATATATCATGGTGCAGTACCTAAGCATATATAGTATTTTGAACAATTTTTTATATGGGCATTATGCTCACACAAATATACCGACAGTGGAAATGATCACTTTTGATTGAATATTTAAAGATTGTAAACACACTCATACTCGTACACGTAGAACAGTAAAATATAAATTTGGAAATTAAGGAGTTTTAAAATGCTATCCCCCATGTCAAATGAGCACGAATATAAATTACCAATATGTAATAACTCATTCCGATCCATACGATTTCTGATGTCGTGATTCGGTCTCGTGGATGATTATGGTGAATATACAGATGAAAATTTTAATAAAAAGCCTGTCGCAATCCTGCCATTTACAGGTAATTATATGTTTTAAGATTATTTGTGTAATATAATATCTCACATATACGGTGGAACAACATTGCAAGTAAAATAGATGATGATGATCTCGTGTACGAAATGGTGTAATTCAGCAACAATATGAGGGTGGTTTTAGTCATTTGCAGTCTGGATACAGATACTATAATGGGAAAGGGGGAATGTACACAGCAGCATAAAAGTATATGCAAATATATGAATTAAGTTAATAGGTGAAATGACATGAGATTTAGCAGAATCAAAACTCAGCAATAAATACACTACATTAAACGGTGGAAAGGAGGTTTAAATATGAACCACAACGAAAAGAGTAATGGCTGCTTCCGTGAGAATAATGGTGGTTGTGAGGTAATGCAGTGGACAAAAGCAGGGAGAATGTAGAATTGTGGATGAGATGATACAATGAGCAGTGGTGAGGTGATGAAATATGCTACAGAGAGAGAAAACGTAAGAGTGATGATCAGAAAATATCTCATCAACTGGACAGATTCGGATAAATGCCTTGACTCTCGTTCTATACGTGTGAACGAGAACCATGAATGAAACCCTCTAGTTTTGAAGGGAGATTGATGTACTACTATATTTCATGTAGAAGATTTTTTGTAGATTTGACAGTGGAGTGGCTCATTTATCGGCAGAGACATTAGGTGTTACTAAGGTAGTCATAAAATGTTTTACAGAACTGACATTGTACAAATGCATTGGATAGCTGTTTATATATTTGATCAAGTTTGCGATTAACATTAAGGATCATTATAGAAGAGGCTGTCCAAGATATCCGGCCAGGTGGCTCAACGATAGAGTGGAGTGGCTCGCAAACGGGAGGCTGCGAGTTCAAGTCCTGGCTGGGGATTGACTCAGCTTGACTCAGCCCATCATCATTCTGGGGTCATTTAAACAAGTACCACATTGTGGGGAAGTCAACAGTGCTTGTCGTACCGTGAGACTGATATTTGCCATAGGAATGGGAAATTACACCACGTGCTTGGGACTGTAAACAGGAGACGAGCACCACCTTAATGCTCATTCGAGGTGGATATTATTCTGGAATGTTTTTATATTTGTCAAAGGAGACAATATACCAAGCTCTGCCAGATAATGCATTTTCAGGCATGAAATATCAAAGCCAAATCTTTAGAAGTGTCATTAATTGTGTACACATTCACACATCACTTGGCTGTGTGTATGCACGCGGGTCAAACATTCGTTAGGAAAACCCACAAGTGCGTTGATGCCCCAAGAGGTTTCGGATAAAAAAGGTGAAACTTTCCCAACAAATACAACACGAACAATCATGTCCTGCCATGCTGCCCAGTTTTCCACCAAAAGAGCCACCCACCTTCACGTGTAGCTGTCAAAGCGATACCACAGCCTGGCACACTGTGATCACTGTGACACATGAACAGCTTGCCAGTGTTGTTTTGAACGCTTTACATTCAAGCGCGAGCGTGGGGTGAACACGTGGACATTGCGTGGTGCTCACAAAGACGCACGCGTTCTTTGAAAGCTAAAAACATTGCATGTGAAAGTGCACAGTGTCCAAAATAGAGGAGAGAATAGGAGTTCATGTTGCTCAAGGTGGCCTTCATCCTACGAGGTTGGTGCTCACTCAGTGACCATTTTATCGTTCATGATTTACCCACATCTTGAGCATCTTTGTTGATTTTATTATGTGTTTTACAACGGATTATTCTGCATAGGTGAACCTTAAAATGGATCCAGCTTTAACTTAATGGAATTTTTTGGGAGATGAGACCTGCCATTTTGGGACTGTTTGATACCTAATTTTATTGAGATTTGTTAGACTTTTAACTTGCAATGACATGGCAATCTATGATATTATATTCATTTTAAAGACAGAAATGTCAATCTCAATAACAGCAGCATCAATCATTAGTTGTCATCATCACCAGCTATGAACAATCCACTGCTGGATGAAGACCTCCCCATGCCACGGCCACCCCTAATGATTCGGCCATGATACAATTCACCCAGCACTTCACATGAGTTGCATTCATTGTTCCATCTCCTCGGTCGCCATCCTTTTCTGGCAACTACTTCTCTATGATTAGTGTATCATGATAACTACAGTGAGTAAATGATTAATAGCTGAGAGTCTGGGTGGGTGAGGGTCTGGGTGGGTGAGAGTCTGGAGGGGTGAGAGTCTGGGTGGGTGAGAGTCTGGAGGGGTGAGAGTCTGGAGGGGTGAGAGTCTGGGTGGGTGAGAGTCTGGAGGGGTGAGAGTCTGGAGGGGTGAGAGTCTGGGTGGGTGAGAGTCTGGAGGGGTGAGAGTCTGGAGGGGTGAGAGTCTGGAGGGGTGAGAGTCTGGGTGGGTGAGAGTCTGGAGGGGTGAGAGTCTGGAGGGGTGAGAGTCTGGGTGGGTGAGAGTCTGGAGGGGTGAGAGTCTGGAGGGGTGAGAGTCTGGAGGGGTGAGAGTCTGGAGGGGTGAGAGTCTGGGTGGGTGAGAGTCTGGATGGGTGAGAGTCTGGGTGGGTGAGAGTCTGGGTGGGTGAGAGTCTGGAAGGGTGAGAGTCTGGAGGGGTGAGGGTCTGGGTGGGTGAGAGTCTGGGTGGGTGAGAGTCTGGAGGTGTGAGAGTCTGGGTGGGTGAGGGTCTGGGTGGGTGAGGGTCTGGGTGGGTGAGAGTCTGGACGGGTGAGAGTCTGGGTGGGTGAGAGTCTGGGTGGGTGAGAGTCTGGGACGGGTGAGAGTCTGAGGGGTGAGGGTCTGGGTGGGTGAGAGTCTGGGTGGGTGAGAGTCTGGAGGGGTGAGAGTCTGGGTGGGTGAGGGTCTGGGTGGGTGAGAGTCTGGATGGGTGAGGGTCTGGGTGGGTGAGAGTCTGGGTGGGTGAGGGTCTGGGGGGTGAGAGTCTGGAGGGGGTGAGAGTCCTGGATGGTGAGAGTCTGGATGGGTGAGGGTCTGGGTGGTGGAGAGTCTGGGTGGGTGAGGGTCTGGGTGGGTGAGAGTCTGGGTGGGTGAGAGTCTGGGTGGGTGAGGGTCTGGGTGGGTGAGGGTCTGGGTGGGTGAGAGTCTGGTGTGTGAGAGTCTGGGTGGGTGAGGAGTCTGGATGGGTGAGAGGTCTGGGTGGGGTGAGAGTCTGGGTGGTGAGGTCTGGGTGGGTGAGAGTCTGGGTGGGTGAGAGTCTGGGGGTGAAGTCTGTGGGTGAGAGGTCTGGGTGGGTGAGAGGTCTGGGTGGGTGAGAGTCTGGTGGGGTGAGGGTCTGGGTGGGTGAGAGTCTGGGTGGGTGAGAGTCTGGGTGGGTGAGGGTCTGGATGGGTGAGAGTCTGGATGGGTGAGTGTCTGGGTGGGTGAGAGTCTGGGTGGGTGAGGGTCTGGGTGGGTGAGGGTCTGGGTGGGTGAGAGTCTGGAGGGGTGAGAGTCTGGAGGGGTGAGAGTCTGGATGGGTGAGGGTCTGGGTGGGTGAGGGTCTGGGTGGGTGAGGGTCTGGGTGGGTGAGAGTCTGGATGGGTGAGAGTCTGGGTGGGTGAGAGTCTGGGTGGGTGAGGGTCTGGGTGGGTGAGGGTCTGGGTGGGTGAGAGTCTGGATGGGTGAGAGTCTGGGTGGGTGAGTGTCTGGGAGGGTGAGAGTCTGGGTGGGTGAGGGTCTGGGTGGGTGAGGGTCTGGGTGGGTGAGGGTCTGGGTGGGTGAGGGTCTGGGTGGGTGAGAGTCTGGAGGGGTGAGAGTCTGGAGGGGTGAGAGTCTGGATGGGTGAGGGTCTGGGTGGGTGAGGGTCTGGGTGGGTGAGGGTCTGGGTGGGTGAGGGTCTGGGTGGGTGAGGGTCTGGGTGGGTGAGGGTCTGGGTGGGTGAGAGTCTGGATGGGTGAGAGTCTGGGTGGGTGAGAGTCTGGGTGGGTGAGGGTCTGGGTGGGTGAGAGTCTGGGTGGGTGAGGGTCTGGGTGGGTGAGGGTCTGGGTGGGTGAGGGTCTGGGTGGGTGAGGGTCTGGGTGGGTGAGAGTCTGGATGGGTGAGTGTCTGGGTGGGTCAGAGTCTGGATGGGTGAGAGTCTGGGTGGGTGAGAGTCTGGGTGGGTGAGGGTCTGGGTGGGTGAGAGTCTGGGTGGGTGAGAGTCTGGGTGGGTGAGAGTCTGGGTGGGTGAGGGTCTGGGTGGGTGAGAGTCTGGGTGGGTGAGAGTCTGGGTGGGTGAGAGTCTGGGTGGGTGAGGGTCTGGGTGGGGTGAGAGTCTGGAGGGGTGAGAGTCTGGAGGGGTGAGAGTCTGGAGGGGTGAGAGTCTGGAGGGGTGAGAGTCTGGGTGGGTGAGGGTCTGGGTGGGTGAGAGTCTGGGTGGGTGAGAGTCTGGGTGGGTGAGAGTCTGGGTGGGTGAGGGTCTGGGTGGGGTGAGAGTCTGGAGGGGTGAGAGTCTGGAGGGGTGAGAGTCTGGAGGGGTGAGAGTCTGGAGGGGTGAGAGTCTGGAGGGGTGAGAGTCTGGGTGGGTGAGAGTCTGGAGGGGTGAGAGTCTGGAGGGGTGAGAGTCTGGGTGGGTGAGAGTCTGGGTGGGTGAGAGTCTGGATGGGTGAGGGTCTGGGTGGGGTGAGAGTCTGGAGGGGTGAGAGTCTGGGTGGGGTGAGAGTCTGGAGGGGTGAGAGTCTGGGTGGGGTGAGAGTCTGGGTGGGGTGAGAGTCTGGAGGGGTGAGGGTCTGGGTGGGGTGAGAGTCTGGAGGGGTGAGAGTCTGGGTGGGTGAGAGTCTGGAGGGGTGAGAGTCTGGATGGGTGAGAGTCTGGATGGGTGAGAGTCTGGGTGGGTGAGAGTCTGGATGGGTGAGAGTCTGGATGGGTGAGAGTCTGGATGGGTGAGAGTCTGGATGGGTGAGAGTCTGGGTGGGTGAGAGTCTGGATGGGTGAGAGTCTGGAGGGGTGAGAGTCTGGAGGGGTGAGAGTCTGGGTGGGTGAGAGTCTGGGTGGGTGAGAGTCTGGAGGGGTGAGAGTCTGGGTGGGTGAGAGTCTGGGGGGGTGAGAGTCTGGGTGGGTGAGAGTCTGGAGGGGTGAGAGTCTGGGTGGGTGAGAGTCTGGGTGGGTGAGAGTCTGGGTGGGTGAGAGTCTGGATGGGTGAGAGTCTGGGTGTGTGAGGGCCTTGAGCTGCTGCTTGACGGTGGATGGTGTTTGGATGCTGCGAATGTGCAGTGGGCGAGTACCTGACGATCGGTGCACCTACGGGAAAACGCTGTTCAGCTCGGACTATCCTGTTTCTGGGTACGATGAGAAGATTGTTGAACGTACTCTGTCGAACGTGGCGATTTGGTGTAGTTCGTGAAATGAGAAGGATGGAGAGATATGATGGAAGACCTTGAAAGATAACATGTATGTCAATTGAAACCCAGGACACCCTTACAACTCAGATGTTCTACCTCAAGGCATTTTCCTCGTTAATTATTTGGATAAATAACTATTTAAAAAGATGTGAAAATAATGGCAAGTAACGTTTTTTTGAAAGAAATTAAAATATTCACATTTTCAAATGGTGTAGGCACAAGAACAATGTATTTATATCTTGAGTTGTGGATGTAATTGGTGCCAGGGTTAAATGTTTGTTAATACAAAGCATTTTTCTAAGTATGTTTGAAGGACCCAATGTACTCTGCTGTGTTTCAGGAATGCATGCCTGTAACACACAAATCAAGCTACGCTCTTCCATTGCCTTTACATGATCCGTGATTCTTTTTTTAAATGAGAAAAGCATGCTCTTTGTAATGCTGTATCGTATTTCATAGCACGAGATCCATAGTCTGATGAAAACATGTTAACGAGCATTGAAAGTGGGTTTTTTCACGTTTGAGCAGAAATGTTTTATGTGGCCACGTGCATTAAGACATTTTGAGGTTTCAAGGCAGAATAAATCACATGTGACAATGCGCTATCAACAATTTCAGTGATCCATGTGCAGTTTTAGCGTTAGCGCCAGTTTGCCTTGTATGTGAAAGTTGGGCAACGAATGCGCAAAGTTCAATGTGGTGCGATTATATCACTGGCCTGCATGTTGAGCGATTGTGGGCTTAAGGCCATCAACAACCATCACCGGAAAACTGTGCGAACCAATCAGCGGGCGGGTTGTTGAACGTAAAGTCATAAAAGCTGTGGCAGATGTCAAAAGAAAGACACTCCGGGTCCAATGGCAGGCGTGAAAGAGGGATTGGGTACCTGTGCCTACGCACGGTGCTTGTCAAGTTTTTATTTTTCTCTGAGGTTTTATTTCTGTGGAAACTGCCGGGTGTGCCTGCGCTGCCTGTGATACGCGCAGCAAGTTGGCGGTGTCCATGCCAAGGCTTGCAGAAGGGCCGCGTCTTCCGTGGCGTGTGGTTTCCTGCCAATGCATGCCGACAGCGAGTTCTGGTGCGGTGCTCTTTCTCTCTCTCTCTCTCGCGCGTTTACCGTCCACTGTGGTGGCAGACATGAAGGGCTTGGTTTTGAGTTGTGGTATGAACGGAATATCCTCGCGATGTAATGTCTCGAGCGAGTTGCTTCGCCGAGTCGTGTTTGAGGACATTTTTAGGTTTGGATCTGTCCTGCGTTATAAAGGGACTATTTACAGCCTAGGCCGGAGGATCTGGCAGTGGTGGCGGATATGTGGCCAGAATTCAGGCTTGAGCTAAGAGGCCTAATTGTTCCGCCATGCTGTCTTTGTGTCTTAAGTATATATTTTGCTTGCTACAATTGCAATGTGCATTCAGTGTGTGTGTGTATATATTCTGTAGGAATTCATGGTCTGTACACCAATATATGTTTAAACTAATGGTGCTGTTTTTAAAAACGTTTCTTGCTGGTTTAACTAACAGATTAAACTAGTTGTAAGTTGATATTATACCATTTATAGATTCTGCTTATACAATTGTGAAGTGTGTGTTTATTTCACAAGTCAATAATTACTCTGTGAGTGACCGTACGTTTATGAATTAACGTACCAGTGTATGACAACTCACTTTCACCAGGAGAAGGCTTAAAGATGGTTTATCTCATCTAAAAGAGGCCTGCAAAAATATAACTATGGTACATAGGGTAAGTTCAGAGTTCTAATCTAATACTTTGGTTTGGGGTCAGAAACGCACGAATTATGCCTCATGTTTGTAAACGTTGAAATCGAAAGTTCGTTTGCAGTCACTTTACAGGAGATGGGGTGTGATGGTAAGTTTGTGTATGAATGCCCAGGTTGCTGCTGGGATCAAACTCGATGGAACCTCGCTAACTCACCTAGTGGTGAGCACACTCACCAGAGCACACTCACCGCTATTCTGTGCCATAGCGCTGTTCAGGTAGCTGTTTATTTTTGTATTTGTTAAACAGCATACAAACACGTTCTTGCAATTTTTCTTTGCTCGTTCTTAAAACATAATTGTAACAATATTTACAACAAAATTGCAGCAATAACATTTAATAATTAACCTGTGGAGCAAATAAAAAAAAATTGTATAGACACAGCATCTGAATGACCAAAAATCTAATTAAGCAATGACCAGAAGTTACAATAGGCCGACATACAATATACCTTACATCACTATTGTACCAACATAATATCGTGCACATTTTGCCTATGGGTGTAATTATATGGCAATATATTTCTTTTTGTTTTCATTATTTTTATATTGTGCTCATGCCAGCGGTTGCAATCCTACATTTGATATTCAGCAGCAAGGGCACCCTGGCTCTTGAAGGCGTCTCACCTCATCCCATCAGTAGCGGCCGCTTGATATGTTAAGACCAAATGAGATGCCAGGCAGTGCCCCTCTCCTATCGCAGGGCCTGCCGCTGACATCGTACGTTTTCCATGCGCGTGCATTCAAATGTATTTTGTATAACCAGGTAAACACTCAAGAGACAAGGATTAGTTTGTTGTCAGTCCCCCGCACCTGTGATTTGCACGGTTGCCTCTGTACGGTGCGAAAGAAGTTCAACCTCCATACATAGTCTCGTTTGCGAGAGTGATATGTGTGTCTTTGTGTGTGCGTGTGTGTGCTGCATTTGCGGGGGGCACAGGGGCGGTGTGGAGAGCAGCGCCCCCCCATACTGCGAGCAGCAGCAGCAGGTGGTGGGCGGCGGCGGCGGAGCCATGTCAGCCATGGGCTTGACGGAGCCGCGCCACGTCGGCTCCGGATCGCTACCCAGCAGCACCCGGCCCGAGCGCAGCACCCAGTTCTGTGCCGTGTGCAGCGACTATGCCTCGGGGTACCACTACGGCGTGTGGTCCTGCGAGGGCTGCAAAGCCTTCTTCAAGCGCAGCACGCAAGGTGGGGGGCGGTGGATGCTCGTAAAATATCGCCGGAGGAGCCTGGGGGAGTGTGGGCGTAGTTGGCGCTCTTGGGAGATGGTGCGGGCATGAGGTTTGTGGGAGTGGATCCGGGTTTTTCTAGGAGCCGACTGGAAAGCATCTTGTCCCAGGGAGGACAGGAACAAGCCGCGACACGCGGAATGTGGGACGGACGTTCCCACCCCTCGGCTGAGTCAATTAATTGGAAATCCGCATGGTACTAGTACAGGAAAATGCAGCATAAAGCCAATAAAGGTTTTTGGGCTGAATCGTCTACAATTATATTCGTTTATATTTTGTTATTATGCTTGTTTACCACAGAAAGCCTCACTGAGTCTCAATATTTCTTTTCAAATGGTCTGGTCAAGTTTTCTCAGGATGGGGCAATTGTCACTACGTGGAATCCCATCTGAGTAATTTGCTGGTAATTTTCAACATTGTGAGATTTGGCCAGTAGAAGCTACATTTTGTGTGCTTTCGCTATGGGAGGACACTGGAGAACCCTGAGAAAACCCATGTAGAACAGGGGGAGATCATACAAATTCCAAACAGGAAGGTGCCTGAGTCAACAATCAAACCCAAACCCTTCTTGCTGTAAGGCACGAGTGTTGCCACTGTAGCACCCTGCCGCAAAAATTGCTCGATCGTAAAAATATTGTATCATGTCGATAAATACTTTTGGGCTGAAATGTCCAGTGAGTTTTTACCACTGTATATTTAATTGCTTTTATGCAAACTATTGTTATTCAATTAAGAAGCCCTCTTGTAGTTATCACAACACAACAATAAAATCCACGTAATTTAAAACACTCGCAGTCGATTGTTTTCGCCATGTCTGTCATTGGAAGTTTGACAAAAACTTTTTGTGCTTTTCAGTAATTGCAATGTTGATGAAAACAGACCAAGCTTGTGTCGCTGTGCCAAAACTTGTTCTCATAAAAAACCCACGGCAGACTTTCAGAAGCGGCAAAATAAACAAGAGAAGTGTCTGGATGATAATGTCGTCATTGCTAGCCGCGATCAGGCCACTGGTGGATGGATGCGTCCCCAAACCCCATTACCATCTCTCATGACCGATGTAATCACCCAGCATCTGCGCAAGAGTTATTCCCTCTCTGCGTCTTATTAGTGGGCATGCTCACGCACTCTCGTGCTCAAATCTCAATGCATCCCTACACTTGACCGTTGCCATTATCCTGCCCAGATGTAAATGTAGTTGTTGAAAATCATCAAACAATTATGCTACTACATTGGCATGAGTGCATAAGCACAAATAAGCAAACAATCATCATGTTTATCATTAATACTACATTATAAACATATAGAATATATAACAGGCTGACATTTCCAGGAATGGTCTTTCGTCAGGAGAGTGAAAGGACTCTGCCCTTTCTCTATTTACATTTTAGTAGTAGAAGTACATTGAGGTTTCTTAAAAATAACTTTGAAGTTTAAATATGCATTGTTTTCCATGAACAGATAATCAAGAATAAACCAAATTTCCCTCAAACCGTCAAATAAAAGCAAATGGATATGAATCAATAGAGGCGGTCCTCTACTCAAGTCGGTTCGACTCGAGTCGATCCACATTTCCGGGCCGGTCGCTATTTTCGACCAATGTCATGACTCACGGTGGTCGGACCGCAATTATGGCACGACGCCGACCCAGGCGCTGACAAACAAACGGTACGTCGCCCAGTCTGTCATCCGCAAAAATGGCTAGTGAAAGGAAAGGCGAGTGCTCTCGCGATGGTGTTCAAAAGAAACGTGGCACGAAGGCCATTCAATCCTTGTTGGACCAAATCTTCAATTATTGCAATGGTATCGGACACATAAACTTTGGTGAACAAAGAGACTACATCGAAACTAACGAGCAAATCATCTAGGGACAGTGAGATGTCTTTAATTGACGATACCAGGTGAGCTGAGTTAAGAACAGAAGAGGTAGTCTTGCCAGTGAATGGCTGTAAGGTATCAGACAGTTTGTAGGTGGGTGAGCCAATGGTGGAGACGATGGGACGAAGGGGTGTACCTTCTTTATGGATTTTTGGTAAGCCATATAGTCTGGGTGGTCTAGCAGCAGAGGTTTTTAAGGAAAACCGTTTGGTCTGTTCAATGAATGAAGATGAATCAGTGATGATACTGTTCGTTTTTGTAACGAGGCTGTTGGTGGGATCTCTATTATTTTTTGTGTAGCTACCATCATTAAGTAGGTCCTGAATTTTGTTATTGTACACGTTTTTGTCCATGATGACCGTGGCATTGCCCTTGTTAGCTGAGAGGATTACGATATCTTCCCTCTTTTTAAATTAAGATAACTCAAAACACTCCTCCTTACTGATGTTGTTGACTGGTATCTTAGCGCTTTTGAGGGTTGCAGCGATTTCAGATCTTGCTGATGTACCAGCCCTGGTGAGATACTGCCTCACCAATACATACTTCACATGGGGTGGAACATTCTACAAACAAACTGAAGGCACCCTAACAGGTTCTCCCTTATCTCCGGTTGTGGCCAACATTTTCACGGAAACATTTAAGACGGACGCTATCCAGGCGTCTACTCTACGCCCGTCCTTGTGGAAGAGGTACGTGGATGACAGGTTTGTCATCTGGCCACATGGCCGACCCGCTCTGAAATAATTCCTCAACCACATCAATTCCATACGCCCAGCAATCAAATTCACCATGGAGGTAGAAAAGGATGGCATGCTACCTTTCTTGGATGTCTTAATCAAAAAGAGACCAGATGGCTCAATGAGCGATTCTGTCTACAGGAAAGTAACCCATACTAACACCTACCTAAAACCTGATCCCCACCACCATCCATCCCAGAAAAATTCCCTTATCAAATTACTACACCATAGAGCTCAATGTATCTCCGACCATGAACACCTAACCAGTGAACTCAAAAACGTACACCAAGCTCTCAAGGCGAATGAATATTCTGACTACACAATCCGCAAAGCCATCACCTCAACCGTGAGGAAGGAGCCATTTGAAGAGCCAATCAAAACCATCACCGTGCCTTACATAGCAGGGATAACCAAAAAGATTTCCAAAATCTTGAACAAACAAGATTCATGTCCGATTTAACACAGTGCATACAATTCGTGATCTGATCCCACCTGTGAAGGACAAGATTCCTGACATGCAATATCCCGGTGTCTACAAACTAAGCTGTATCTATGGCAGCAGTTACATTGGGGAAACTAAATGACATGTGATAATTGGTTCTTTACCCTTCTATCTGGCAACAAAACTGACACCTTTTTGCAAGGAGTCATGTTTGCATAGACCGCAATACCTGCAGTCATAAATACAAACAAAAGACATAACTCTGATAATGTGCACTGTCCTTGAAGTTGATTGGTCCACACCCGAGACAGCTTTCCTTCGAGCCTAGTCTCATATGGGTTGGACCAGATGACGCCAAAAGGCGCACCATCGTCATCTGGTCCAACCCATATGAGACTAGGCTCGAAGGAAAGCTGTCTCGGGTGTGGACCAATCAACTTCAAGGACAGTGCACATTATCAGAGTTATGTCTTTTGTTTGTATTTATGACTGCAGGTATTGCGGTCTATGCAAACATGACTCCTTGCAAAAAGGTGTCAGTTTTGTTGCCAGATAGAAGGGTAAAGAACCAATTATCATATTTTTACTGGCAAATGAGGTCCCCATAGTGTAAATGACATGTCTCGGACCGTGTTCGTGAACATAAGGCAGATCTGAAACACGGCAGGACCAATACCTCTGCCGTGGCTGATCATTGTTATAACGCAGTGGGCTCGCACGATATTGTTTTTTCCGAGACCAAGGTACTCTGCAAACCTTCGGGCTACCATCAAAGATTTGTCCATGAAGCCATCCAGATATATAAACACAGAGACAATTTCAACCGAGAAGATGGGTATAATTTATTAACCAAGCAAAGTCGTAACTTGCTGTGGTGCTTCCATTCTTCCCTGCCGTTTGGCTGTTATCTCCGACTCTCTGAGTTGCATTGCCCTGTTAGGTGCCTCTGCATTAACGGGTTGGGGTCTTACTAACATAGCCACCTCTTTTCCCTTAGCCTCGATGTATCGATGGTTCTAGCTGTGTGATGGGCTGTGTGTCTCACTGGCGCGACCACCGTTGCGGTGGTTCTCTTGCGTTGACACGCTTGCCTCTCATAGCGAAGTTGACAGCTCCGCAGCTTGTGTTACACATATACATGACATTAACTTGCTAATACCCGTAATCTCTCTGCCTAATCTCTCCCATCAACATAGTGCTAATCTCCAATTAACACTGCTGCTTATGCTAATCTCTCTCCCTAATCTCTCTCTCTAATCTGCCCCATTAACACAACTGACGTGCTTGCGTGCGGGGATGGAATTCCTTTCCAGCTCAGACCCCGCCTGCTTGTCCTTCGCCACATATATAACCTCTTGTTGTAACAGCTCTCTCGCTGTGTTCTTCCTAGTTCAGCAGTTCCACTGCTGGATTATTTTTTCCGCCTGAGGACGTCCGCTTGTGTTGCGATCGAAACGTCGTGATATATTATTTTTCATTTAATTTTTCTACCTACGTGACTTTACCGAAAGAACCAAAGAGTATGGATTCCTGCAGTCACGAAAGCTTCAAATCAGGAATAATAGAGTATATTACTCGCTCACATATCTTAACGACAAAGTCCTTGTCACTAACATTTGGCAGTTCACCAGCATTTGTCAAGTAAGCCTGACTGCTGATGAGACACTGTATGTTGAAACCCGTCCAGAGTTTGATTGCATTGAACCAATGCTGTTGAAATTATGCACCCCCAGGGACGCCATGTGGTTGATGGGAGGTGTAAAAACATGCTTTTATTTTTTAGGTTTCTTTTTTATGTCTTGGTTGCTGCCTACTTGCAAAACCGCACCTTCCAATCCTCCAGGCACATATAACACACTCCGTTGATCTACGGGAATGACAAGACTTGCCCAGCCCAGGATTGTTCATCTGACATTGGGGGGCGAGGGGGTGAGCCATACTTGAGTACAGTCCCAAAAAAATTCTGGAACACCCTGCTGTCGGCCACCGCAACGTGCTGGGTGTTTCTCAATTTCGGGGTCTGTGCAAGAGACACTTTATTCCGATTTTCCTTCACATAAAATAACCTATAATGCAAAATAAATAAATATTTTCTTAGTTTTTATTTTTCTTTACTATATCATGCTATATGTTGCGCATGGTTGCACTTTATTTTGTGCGTGGTTGCAATTTACTTGATTTATTGAGCCCTGTTCATCCATAAATTATTTATTGGCAAGTCTCCGCTATGCTTAGATAATTAATTTACCCCATTGTCAAATCTAAGAAACCTAAGACGTCCATCTAATTGCTTTTAACTATCCCAAAAACAAGAACTGATGACAAAGCCTTTGCCGTTGCCACATGAACGTTACGGAACAACCTTGTTTCCTCCCCTAACATCGTACATCTTCCTTAAAAAATATTCTGGCAAATGTGATTTGTACATTTGATTCTTAACAATGTATTGATAGTTACATTTTAATGTGCATTTTATTGAGGGACTGTGTTTTCTTGGTGTGGTCTGGGACTGTTTGTTCTGTTTTTATGCGTTTTCCAAGCATTGGGAATTAATGTACGAATGCAATCTGAACCGATACACTTTATTTATTTAAAGGGCACCACAGTAGGTGAGATGTTATCTTCCTTGCCTGGTATGTAGGAGGTCGGAGGTTTGATCCCAACCTTGACGTCTGCTGTATATTTGGAGTTTGCAAGTTCTCCCCGTGGTCGTGTGGATTTTTTCTCCGGGACCCTGTGGTTTTTCTCTCCACATTCAAAAACATGCATTTATATTATTTAGATGATAAAGCTGCTATAAATTTCCACATGGTAAGCCACTTTCTTGAGCGATCATTTGCGGCCAGGTCGCTCCTGAAAAAGATGCTAATATTTCAGTGGCTTTACCTGGAAAGAAAAAAAAGAGTAGTTTTATTTGTATATTTTTTAAACTGATTTGTTTACCTTTCCTGTACTTTGAACTCCTATTGTGTTTTTGTATTGTTATTCCACATATCTGCGTGGCTTTACCGCGTAGAATATGTATTCCTGCAGTCACGAAAGCTTTAAGTCAAGATTTGGTATTGTTGTAACGTTCTGACCGACCCCTACTGGACATCTGTGAAAAAGAGCTTTATAGCTCATCGGATTTTTCCAGTATAAATACAGATTCTGATTATGTAAGCCGCTGAGGTAGTGGTGGGTTTATTTTTTCATTCCTATTGCTGTATGCCCCCGATACCGTTCCCGTTATGCTGTAATGTGCACTGATCCCTACTGTATTGAGGGCGATATTAGCACGTAAAATAAATATTGATTACGTGGAAAAACAGATCTGGGGAGATATATTATATGCTTATTTTCTTTGCAACATAATTATGGAGGTGCTAACGGACGATGGACTTTTCGGTGGTGTCCAAAGTTCCAGAAACATCTCGGAGAACTAGGAGTGAATGGGGCACGCAGCCTGAAGAGAGGATAAGGGCATTATCCACACGTGGGGGAGAAGTTTTAGTATTATAGCCGTGGTGGAGACCAGTGGAGCGAGAGGTGTACGGAGAGCTGGAAGAAGAATGTTTTCTCAAAATTTTCTAAGGAAACGAAGGTTTGAGATAGGAGGGAAATTATCAGGGATATTGGGTGCAGTGTCAGATTTTTCAGGCTGCATGTGGCAGCAGCAGTAGCAGCAGCAGTAGCAGCAATATTGAGAGCTAATGAAATTGTACTGGGTGAGATAGATGCCTTGACAAAGTTAGTCATATCTGACGGGCAGGTTCGATAGGCAGTGAGGCATGTGCTCTGTTAAAGGCAGAGGGTTTAGGATGCTATTTGGAAGCATTTAAAAAATATAGCACATTACACTTGTTTGCATAACTTTTATGCTGTTGCAATAGCTTTTTATATACAATTTTAATTGAATTTGATTTACAAATACTTATGAATCGAACAATTTCTGTTAGAAAACCTACAGTCAATGCATTTTGTCCTCCAGACCCATACATGTTTTCTGTTTTTAATTGTTAAGTGTAAAGTACAGAGCATATTGTGAAATGAAGTCGGTGCCGAACATAAAACATTACATAAAGCAGTTTCTGAAGAGTAATAATTAAAAACATGATACCAATTAAACGCAGCAGTAGTTGGCCATTAAACTGGAATCATACGGAGGTGTGAGAGGGGGTGTTCGTAGCTTTCCAGGTCGCATACTTAACGTTCAGCGCATGTGTCCAGTGTCGAAGCGTTTTGCCGTGTGTGTGTTTTGTGTACGTCAGCACCATTGTGTTTGCGATTTGCACGCTGAAGCGCGCACTGGCCAGTGTCTGGCACATTTGTTCGTTTTGTTCCATTGTCACGCCAGTGAGGATAACAGAAGCAGCAGCAACAAAAATAATAATTATGATGATACAAATTAATTACCCAAGAAGGCCTCGTTGAGTCTCATGACTCTTTTCCAAGAGGGTGCTGCTACATGAGGATGTTTGGCCAATTTCATCAATAGGTGTTTGGCTTTGTGTGGAAGGAAACTGGAGTGGCAGGGGGAATCCCACCGTGTGGACGAGGTGGTGACACCAGAACTCGAGCTAATCCCTGTGATTGTTTACGCAACAGCATTAGGGAAGAGAACTGAGAACCATATTTTCAATTATAATATCTCTGTTTTGGAATTTGGGTTCGGGTCATATATAATCAAGTAATAAAACATAGCGGGAGACAAACGACTTTCATATTTTAGTGAAATGTATTTTAATTACGTTCATATTTAAGTATGAAAATACTATACTTTTTGTTTCAAAGTTGAGAGCAATATGAGTACGCAATGCACATTTACGAAATACAAATGTCCAGAGAGTAGCAGGATTTTTTTTGGAGTAGTTGGGTTACGTGGATGAAAAAAGTGATAATACAATAAATACTGTCTAGACCGGATTGCAAAGGGTTACGGTCAAACTAGTATGGCTTATCTCTACAACACATATGGGGTTACCAAGTTTTTCGAGGTTTGGGCGGACAGTTTATGTGGAAATTTACAAGTCTAATCCTTTTGTGGAAACCTCACAAATAACTCCGTTGACAGTGCGTGTTCTATACACTCAGGACGAGGGGGTGTGATGATTGCCACTGAGTACATATCGGGTACATGTAGTACTGTGTTCTACCTCGCAGCACTGGCAGAAAAAAAATATTCAGGCTTCGCGTGGCAATAATAAAGAAATAAAGTGCACCATTAGCGCTGATTTACCCACGCTGAAAGCGAGTGGCTTACGGTGCGGATTGAGGAGGAGGCGGCAGCGGCGGCTCAACTGCCCCTTGACAATGTGGAATTTCCACCATTGGCTCAGGGCTATGAACAGAAGATGAACATCTGCTTCAATGCTCTTTTGAGCAGCAAATCACGATAATGCATAGTCAGCTTTCGTGACCAATATTAATAACGTAAGTATTTTTTGGCGTTCGATCATCAGCGATTTGACTGGTTGTAATTTACGAGCGAAACGTCATACTCAAATTGTAAATGTTGTGGGTTAACTCTCCAACACACTGGTGTGCTGAAGTAGTAACTAATTGGCAAATTTTATTTACATAACAAACCTTACTAATTGACTGTTGGGTGGTGGTGGGTTAACGACACATTTATATTTACGTGATCTAACCCCAAAAAACCTTTATTATTAGAAAATCACTATGAACTCCACTTTCTGAGTCTTTTATAATCGCTGCACAATTGAAAAAATGTTTGATGCGACCAGTGTATATGTTATTGCTATTGTAATTTTTTGCGACCCAGGTCACTTTGCAAATTAAGCTATCTTGGTCTCATGAGTTCTCACTTCTTTAAGCAAAATTAATTTGAACCTGATTCTGTATTGCGACTATCACTTTGAAGTTGCAATTGCATTGACAGCAGAAGGGTTGTTGTAAGTGTGTACATTTTCTGCTTTCAGGACACAATGACTACATGTGCCCGGCCACCAACCAGTGCACCATCGACAGGAACCGTCGCAAGAGCTGTCAGGCTTGCCGCCTGCGTAAGTGCTACGAAGTGGGCATGGTCAAAGGTAAGGGCTGGGCCTAAATTTTTGGACCTTGAATGTGCATGCGTTTTGGTAGCTCCCATAGCAAATTCCTGGAACTTGCCCGTAAAAAAATCCACATGCTGTGTTTATCGTTGAGGTTTGTTTTGACCATACGTCACCACGCTGGTATGGTGGAGTGTGATCCTGCGGCTCCTAGAAAGTGAGGACAGCTTCAAACCATTTACTAAGCTATAATATTTATAATAATCATTTACAACCCTTTTCTACCACAACTGTATGACGGGCCTCCCCACGCCGTGCCAGTACAGTCGTTTGACCGTAACTCTACCATGCTGGTCACTACGGGTTGGTGAAGGGGGGTGCCTTAATGGTTTCAGATATCGCCACTGACGTTTATCATGGCTGGAAATTGAACTCAGGCCAGGGGGTTCACATCCCAGCCCTCTAACCACTGGGCCACCGCTCCAACGCATACCACATGTAGGAGCTGAAGTAATCAGTACTCGCAGACTTTATTACACGTGTAACGGATTCCGGAGACACTTGTAGAGGTAACTTCTTTATTACAATACAACACTCCAACCTTTCAACTCTCCAACAGTCCTCATACTCTGTTACAGCCTAGGTACACAGCCTAGCTACACAGCCTAGATACTCTAGATACTCTACTCTGGCTACGCTCGCCCTCACAAGGTCGTAGAGTCGGGAGTTCCAGAGTCCCACCACTGGCTCTCACAGCATCCCAGGGTCTTCAGATGGCTGGTCGTGGGTCTTGGGTCTTGAGTTACAACTGGGCCCCGATCGTCCAGGGAGCTCCGCTTATATGCCCAGTCCCCAACGAGGGGTGGGGCCGTGTGCGCCCCCAGATATCCCACAGAGCACACACAGCCCCCCCCTTTGGTGGCGCCAAGGGGATTAAGCACCTGGGAACTCAACGCCTGACGCCAAGGGGCTTAAGCGTCTGACCCGCCTGAGAACCCACGCCTGACGCCAAGGGGATTAAGCGTCTGGACTCGCCTGGGATCCCAGAGCCCCCAGCAGCCCCTCCCTTCTTATGTCACTACATTACCCCCCTCTACGTAGCCTCCAGCCGTCCCGGCTGTCAATAATTAGAAAGTTTAAATTAACGAAAGGGAGAGAGAGAAAAAAAAAATATGCTAGCCTCAACAGGAAAAGAAAAGAGAACAAGAAAGCAACCATAAAAACCGTAACCAACCTGTACAACTCTACACTATATACAAGCATCAATCAACAAAAAGGTGAAGCAATGACACATGAACAAACGACCCGCGGCACACCTAGCCCTCCTCGGGATCCGCATAGAAAACGGGGAATTAACAACAACAAATATACAGATTCCGACGCGTTGGATGCACAACCAACACCGGTAATCAAACCGAAATCACATAACCACCGCATGGATGGCAGGGATCCACACCACTCTGCCAGCCTCCCATCCGTCAGGTGGAGAGAAGGCGAAGACCAACATGTCGAGCATCCCTCTGCACACACTTATCCGGACGTCTGTCTACGTCCCGCACTTCAGGGCTGCTCCAGTATCTACATTTTTAAATATATATATAAAATTTACATGACACAACCAAAATAAATCTGCCTGCTCCTGTCCATAAATGGTGGCCGCACGCGCGAACCGCATCTCCAAGGCATCCCGTGCTTGCGTCCCAGCAGTCCTCAATGAGGACCACCACCGACATTACATGTCAACCGTTTGCACCCCCCGCCTTTCCAACGTGGCGTCTCCATCCTAAAACCGCGCAAATCATAAGTACACGAGTAATTTGAGTTGAAGCAATTTCATCCAATTTGTGATTACGGGTAACAAAAAACTAGAATTGTTTTGGACATCTTAGCAGAACAGTTTAAGAACGTAATGATGTGGTTTTTAACTGCACCCTATGAAACATGTTCTAGGAAGCACTGCAGCGATTAAACATTTTCCAAAGAATATATTCTGTCAGACAGCAGCAATAAAACTTTAATTATGGGCTAATATGAAAAACGCAGCCTAAAAACCTGCCTTAGAATTAAAAATATTTTAAAAGCCATATTTCTGTTCAAAATTCTTAATATATGACCGCTATTGATAATTTGGGCAATTCTGAGTATGCTGACAAGATTTTAGTCTAAACGAACAAGTTGTAGGAAGAAAATCAAATACATTTTCCATTATTACATTCTGATTACTTTGGCAAATGTGCAATGAACTGTCCAATTAGCAAGTTATCTTCCAATGTAAGGTTTATATTAAATTTCAGATAAGTGCTCAATTCCATCGTAAATATGGCTGGTTTGATGAGGTTGATTTTTTGTTTTTTAATGGCTTAGCAAGTCACGAACTGTGGAAGCCAGTGTAATAAAAAAATATTATTTATCTGTGATACATTGATAGAACAAAATGTCTTTACTTTATATACATAAACTTTCAAATAGTGATATATACGCAAATTGTATTTATATAGCATCCAGCGGCAACTGCATATCAAGACCACTTTTATAGTGGCATATTCTTTACAATTTGAAAAATAAGCCTCTGATGTTAGGTTCCATGAGCGCTTCCCGTATTGTGGCAGCGCAGGACTAGAATTCGCTTATGGACTCGACGAGTGGCCCCTTGGCAACGTTGCAAATTTTTTACACAGGTCGAGTTGGGGCCATTCGTGTTTGGGCGGCAGGGTGGCGTAGTGGTAACACTCGTGCCTCACAAAACAAGAAGGTCCTGGGTTCGCTTCCTGACTTGGGTATCTTCTGTGTGCAGTTTGTATGGTCTCCATCTACTCCTCATAGGTTTCCTCTGGGATCTCTGCTTTCATAAATTGTAACTGGTGTTGGCCGAACATTGCAATGCTGATACAATACCTGCAAATGACTCAATTCGGAATTACAGAGCAGCAATATCGCCCCTACTGCGAAAACTTGGCAGGACCTTTGTGGAAGAGAGTCTTGAGACTTGGTGAGGCTTCCTGAGTAAACAAGCAGAATAAAATGATAATGATCATTTATATTTGAGTTATACGCAGCCTTCATTAAAATAAAATTTTAAACTTTAATCGGGTACGACTTGGTGTGTGACTTTATCACCAGTTGTTGGTTAAGTCGCCCTGCTGCTGCTGTTGTTAGTCTGCTGTCGTTGCTTTGCAGTTTCACTGTTGCTATTGCTGTCATGCATGCCAGTGCTGCATCTTTACTACTGCTGCTGCTGCCACAGAAACCACTTGTTCAAGTTGCCATTGGTCGATACAGTCCCCAATTGGTTAGCATTACAGCTGCACTAACTGGTAACATTCACCATCATGTTATATTCCCAGTCCTGATTTGCTGATTGACGATTGTGATTATATGGTGGAAGTCACACACAGTAACAGCCAATTAAAGTTTAAAAATCAATATTAATTATTATTTTGGGCTGGAGCCAAAACTCTCCTTATGGGGTGGCCTGAATTACATATGGCAGACTATTGTCCAAATAGCGTTACATTCTATTAGGGCATGTGCTGTTAGCATACACCTATTAAGGCTGGCATGGCGCATTGACCGGTGGTTTGGTGATAGGCGGTGTGATGTTTTTACACACTGCACTTGGCTGAGTTGACCTAGGGAAAGCCCAGGATCGATTCAGATACCGCTCACCACTGATGATAGCAGTGGCTGGTAATCAAAGCTAGGTCATGGGATTTATAGGGCTGTGTAACAAACAGTTGGGCCACTGCTCATGTATTATATATGTGTAGTGAGCGACTTCCGAGACACATCGAGTAGAAGGCTTCTTATTTATTAAGAGCACACGGGGCGATACATTTCGTAAAGCAGCTACACATAGGCGGTCCTAACACGCAGCCCATCTCCGTCATGCGCTACGCAAGCTGTTCGACCAGCGTAGCGGCGGCGACGGAGCTGGTCTTGCAGAAGAACAGCCATGTGGTCGAAGACGAAGAGGTGACGACGAGCAGTGACGCAGCCAGGACCCAAGAACCGCAGAACAGCCCCGAACCTCTGGTTCCGTCCCCTTTATATCTGCTCGGCACGGCCAAGCTCCAACTCTGGCCACGCCCCCTTTCCAGAACCTTTTGGTTGGTTCCCGGAGCTTCTCGACTGACTCTGCCCTTCACCTTTACCCCATGCAGCCATTACCGTAATTACATCTTTAGGCCTGCAGGTGTCACTTTGTCATTACATATGTGTAGTGGGTACAAATGGAGAGAGAGACTTCTCTGGAGGCAACACTTTTATTATAACAATAACAAAAGCCCTAACACAAAAGGGTATTTGCCCCTTCCACCAGGTAAGCTAAGGAGGTAGTCTCTCCGGGCTAACGAGCCCTAATACAACTGGGGTGGCTATCGGAGACCGGACCCTGACTCGGGTCCGGGATCTTGTCTTGGGGCTTCTCTTTAGGGTGACGCCTTCAGGTCTTCAGGTGTACAACAGCAACTGGACCCGTTCAGGGGTCCGGCTTATATTGTCAGTCCCTGGGCTTTCTCCGCCCCTAGCCATGCCTCCCTTCTCGAGCCTTTGAGAGGGACCTGGTCCTGGTCTTGTGGTTCCCCAGCCCCCTCTTTGGGGGCCCCCAGGCTGGTACCTCCGGTCACCAGGCCTCCGGGTTCATACAGAGTGCCATGGCCCCCTGTGAACCCTTCCACCATACCTGGCACGTTTGCCCCCTATCCTCTGGAGGCTGACACTGCACGTTAAGTGCAATGCCATCCATCCTTGATATACACAGCCTGGCTCATGCATCATGCAGTGGCATCCCACGATGCCACTACATCACCCCCCCCCCCTCCGTAGCACTCAGCCGTCCCGACTGACAACTCCCCCCTGAAGCTCAGCCAGCCTGCAACAGCAACATAACGACAATATGTGCCTCAATAGCAACAAGAACACAACAAAACACAATCCCAACAATAAATACCCCAGCCCACCAATGTGCACTATTTACAAATATACATAGCGACCGGAAAAATGGCGGAAGTAGGGAGCGACAACATGGGGTAGAGGAATAA